TTGGGGTTTCTGTGCACTGAATTCACCGCACAGTTTTCATTTTCACGGATACTGGTTAAACTGAGGAAAGCCGCAGTGCGGCGTTACTCGGGAACCACATAATTTGCAGAGCACGACAAGTCTGTTGTTTCATCCATCTTAACGAAGGGAAAACGGGAATTTAAAAACTAGCAAAATTTCTGATCAGCGGATGTTGCTGGTTTGTGAAGAAATCTTCAGTTACTTCAGTTGAGTGGGAGTGCGCCATGATCGTAGTGGAGTCTATCGATGATGCCTTTTGCTTTCAGACAGCACGAATCCGAGGTGTTTTCTGGCCATAAAGCCGTAATGTCGCTATTCCGCTACCAGTCACCGCGCGACTATTTCTATACCTCACCAATGGAGCGTTTCCTGGTCAATGCGCTGGACAACGCATTCTCCGATCTTTCGTATCGTCCGCTGCACTCTGTGGCACCGTACTGGCTTAATCAGCCAGTACTCAACGAGTGCAACATTGGTAATTCGGTGGGCAAGGCGCGTTTCACTGTTTGATAACAAAGGATTTGATGAGTTAATAAAAACAGGCTTTACCCAAAAAAATATGCGCTATAGCCCGTTCAGTAACCATCAGTCGAGTTGCTTCTGTTTTTTTCTTCTCCATTTGTCATTGCCAAAATTTCCACTTATCCTTTGTCAAGGAGATAAGAGATCAAGCCTCGTTGTGTTTTCGGTAACTTCAAAGAGAACTTTCCGTCTCCGGCTTCAAAACAGCTTATTTTTCAGATTATCAATGAAAAGGATAAATTTGCTGTTGAAGTTGACGTGGCGCAGTTCCAACCAAAAGATCTCTCCGTATCGGTTCGTGATGGGCAGCTTGTCATCGAGGGCCATCACGAAGAACGAAACGATCAGTCCGGTAGCATTGAACGTCATTTCATTCGAAAATATGCTTTGCCGAAGGAAGTATCACCGGATGCAATCGAATCGCATCTCTCCGATTCGGGAGTGCTGACCGTTATGGCAAAAAAGGCAGCAATTGATGCACCACAGACCCGGAGCATTCCGATTCGAGCAGCGCCAAAGGAACCTCTGCCCGGCGTTGAACAGAATAAAAATGCATCAGCACCGGGAACACAGAAGAAGTGAAGCTGCAGCGCTTCTCCTGATTTGAAAGCTTTGCGTTTTGCACTTTCGATTTTCATTTTGATTTTGATTTCGGTGTCTGTCAGGTTTTTCAGTTGCTGAAAAATGAGTCATTTCCGATGTTCAGTTCAGTGGTGAGTAGATGCGAGAGAAAAGGATGAACTGCAACTGACAAAATTCTATCTTTTCATGTAGAAATGTTGCATTAATTCAGACTTCGCGGTCCCATACAATTTTGCTCGAAGATTTAAATCTCCTCTTTTTTATGCACCTCCCAGATCAAAAACACTTTACCCGGATAAAATATCCCACTTTTCTCCTGAAATTTTGTGATGGCACACGTTGTTTTGTATCAGGTGATAAGCAATTTCTTGTATCTCCTGCTTGCGACTTCTAGCTTTACTGACGATAATTCCCAAATTTCACGTGTGGAAATTCAATTTACATCAGCTGGTTTGCTAGGCCGAGTTTGCTGTGGATAACTGTACGATATTTTACACGAATTCCCCTTATGTTTCTATGATGAGCCGTCATCTTGATTTTCGCATCCGCTTCATTTAAAGCGGTTGC